CCGAGCGCTGCTTTACCGCGTTATATCCGAATTCATGTTATAGCGGGTCGCATTATATTGGGGTAGAGGTGTACTACAGATTCCTATAAATGGAAGGAGTCTTCAAGCGGATTTTCTATCAACAGAAAAAAAAAGGGGGGTGGGGGGATTCAGAGGTACTGATTATCAGCTTTATTATGCCAAAAGTAATGAGGCATGAGTTAAGAGGTCAGCATGTAGCCAGAAATGACTGGAAGCCATCTGCAAACGGTATGCATGTAGTTGCATAACATACATTATATAACATCTTTAATTATAATCCCAAAGTAATGTATTGCAAAATCCATGGTTTTTTGCTTTCGGCTTGATCATTTGGAGGCATCAATGGAGAGACAGAGTGCCAACTAGTTGTTGAATCCCTAGAGAATGCCACCGCATAGGACCTAGTTAAACACAATGCTCAGAGGCATCTTACATGCTATGAGAAGTGAATTTGGCCAGGTTTGCGAGGAAGTACATCAAGCATCAGGAAAAGTTGAAGATGTCGGGACAAGTGCCAACTGTGAGTAAGAATCACCTTATGCTCGCTCCCATGGCATACGTTTCAAGAACACTTGTTTCTTCTGCTGGAAGCCAGAAGCCATTCAAAAAGCAGTTTCAACATGTGAGACAGGTGAGAAACTATGAAGCAGTCACTCTTAACTTTACTTTCCGTGCAGTGTTTTTGCTAAGAGAGTGCATTGATCCAAAAGACACCCACACATATGACATTGTGTAACATATCGCGTGCTACACCAAGAATGTATATCAGTGTTGCACCAAAAGGTGAAAGCAACAGAAGCAAATACTGAGTTTACTCCTGCAAACCTTATGACTGATGTTTGAAGTCATTTCTCAAAAAAAGTACAAGACTTGCAAGGCCAGTTCCACACATCTAGTGTACATTCTGCTCTCAACGACCTATGCGCATGATAGAGAGGGAATATCACAGAATGGAGCAAGCAAATCGATGAGACTGAATTGACGAGAAAGCCAACATTGGGATGGTGAGGTGATACATGAAGATGGTTGAGTCTTTGCTGCACTTTATTCGATCCGTCAGGACTGCTCATTGGAATTTGCACCTCGCAGCACTAAACTTTGTGACTTTTTTTTGGTTTAAGCAACTAATCTGCGAGGATTTCCTGGTACCTCGCTGAAATAAGAGGTGTAGAGAAGTCTGACCCGGATATGTGGGAGGAATTTTGAAAAGGAAAAATGTGGTCCCTTCTGTGCACTTGGTTCAGACGAAGCCCTGGAACATGAAAACAGGGCAATGCCAGGCTGTGGGAGTTGGTGGGCATCACACAGCATCCAAATGCTCTTCCCGGTATTTCCTGACAACCCCAGAACTCCTTCAAATTTTGAAAAAAAAAACCATGAAGCATGGCTGGGATGACTTCCTCAGAAGTAACCGAACACCATCTAGACTCTTTAGGTGCTGTTCATTACCAAGGCTACTGTTCCATGAAGCCATCATCATCAGATACAGTTATAAGCAACGTACAACATCGTTTTAACAGAACAAAGAATCAACATCTCTGGCTCTGAAAACAAATATCTCCGATCTGCCTTGACGTTTAGGTAGCAGCGGGGAATGTATGGCAACCAAATGCAGCCCTTTGTTATGACTTATTCAGTCGGATTCTTTCCTGGTGATGTTCAGCATTTTGTTCTTTCTCACTGTTTTGCTTCATTCCTTTGGGAAACTGATGAGACTGTGGGGAAACTTGACAAGACACGGCAGAGAGCTCTACAATGGCACTAAATTGAACTATATACATTTTAACTGAACAACGCATAAGGTAGCCACTACCCTCTCTGCATCAGTTTCCCTCAAAACCCACTTGTGCTTGATACCTTGAAAAGGGAGCCAACTAATGCCTTTTGGGTTGAGGGACCATCAGGGGTAGCTGATATTTAGAAAGCAAAAAAACTAAAGTGATTGAGAACCATCAAGTTGTGCATGAAGCTAACCTGGAGTTACCATGTGCTTTTACTGTGGTTACTCATCTTTCTTCCTTCTATCTGTGGCTTCAACAAGTGAACTGGCAGCTTAAAATGAAGACTGCATGCTCTTTGAGCAAGGATTGTGTTTTCAGATTTGTTTGTATAAAGCTGAATAGAATCCCAATCCTGATAGGACTTCTGGGTGCAACCTCACAACAGGTAATGAAAACCAACTGTACGTCCACTGGAGAAACCAGAAGTATCTAAACCAGACTTTGCTTTTAAACGGTACATTGCTGGGCAAACTGAGAAACAGGATCCCCTCCCACCTCTAGCTCAATGATTTAAAAGTTAAATCGGTCCCAATTTTCTTCTAGGAATGTTCATCGAAGTAGAACACTTGGATCATTTAATTAGAAAAGCGAAATCATTGCATTTTGCAGATTTGCTCAGAAGGACAAGCATGAACCAATCAGGCCATTCAGGGGGATTTATATGACTATGTTAATTAGACAATAGACCAGATTCTCCATTGACCTAGATCAGTCATTTACACCAGTGGAAAGTGGGTATAAAATGCTACCACATCTGAATAGCAGTGTAGTGAGGCGGCCTGGCTCCCAGCCGCCCCAGAGAGGGACGAACCCCTCCGGATGCCAAAGTGGGCGGAGCCACTGGAGCCTGCGCCCGCCCCCCAAAGGTCAAAGCGCAGGACAGGAAGTACAAAAGCACCACCCCAGGGCTCAGAAGCTGCCTGGCCGCTGGAGAAGCCAGATGCTGGGGGCCTTGCTCCTGCTGGGGAGACTCCTGCAGCCTGTGACCGACCCGAGGACTGCCCATACCAGTCAAGGCCTGGAGCCGACCAGACCCCGGAGAAGCTGTTAAGTCTACCTGGGAGAAGCGACCCAGAGGAGCTGCCAAGCCTACCACTTGCCGAGTACCCTGAGGAGCCCCTGGTGCTTGATTCCGTGGAGGACACTGACCAGACGCAGGTACTGCTAGAGGGGGAGGTATGAAGTAGCCCGGGGGCAGCCGACCCTAGTCTGGCTGCGGCACACCCAGAGCCGATGTCAGTGTGTTGCAGCCAGGATCCCCACGGACACAGCAGCAGGCCGCCTGCCGCTGTTAGGGCCCCGGGCTGGGACGCAGTGGAGTGGGAGGGCCTGCATCCCTCTTACCACCCCACTCATGGGTGGCAGTCTCCCCCTCGCCCCAGACGCTCAGAACCAGGAGCCTGGGTTTTTGTTCCTGAACTATTTGCTCAGCCCCTGCCTGAGGGCCTGAGCTCCTGTTTGTTTGCGGTCCCGCCCTGACCCAGGGACGGGGCTTGTCCTGAACTATTTGCTCAGCCCCTGCCTGAGGGCCTGAGCCCTTGACTGTTTCCTGCCCCCACCAGGCT